ACATTTCCATTTCTGGTATACTAAAGGATATACAAGACCAATAAAAAGTTGTGGGACTAGGTGTCCTGCACTATATATCAGTTTCCCGTGATTTATAATTTACTATTTTACAGTATGTATTGATAAAATATAACTTTTTTAACATTTAATTATTTTTATGTTTTCCATTTTTTGACAAGTTGGCCTTTTCCTTAGAATCTAAAAATAACAGCCAGTGGCTTGTTATATTAATACCAAAAATTTAATGGCCTTATTTTATTTATTTATAGTATTTATATGGAAATTTCATCTGAATCTATTGAATCTAAGTTTTTTTAATCAAGAAAACCGTGACTTCTCTTTTGTATTTGCCACCAAAGCCACTTCAGCCGTTTACAGCCACTCGTTTATGGCAGCTGTAGTAACAATGGAATTTCTAAATATTGTAACGATTGACGTTCTAAAAATAGTATTTACGCGATACCAGCTGATACACATTACTATTTATATATTACTATTAATATTAAATGTTAATATACTTGTTTTAATATTTCGAATAAAATTATTTCATTCTATTCGAATTAAAAAATTTATTTGAATTGTCATTTTGTTTGTTTTTTTGTTTTATTTGAATTATTCAGTTTATCTGTTTTATTTGAATTTTTGTTTTATTCATTTTATAAAATATAGGTCTTATTTCTTTAACAAGATAATATAATAAATTACAATAAATACATTTATAATCTATATTACTATTACTATGGTTGCTAGTAAGTACTATGACTTAAGAAAAGAAAAGAAAAATGTCAGCTACTACTACTACTATTTATTTATTATATACAAGGACTAATAAGAAAAATAGATTGATAAAGAAAAAAATTTAATTTGGACCAGATTAGCAATGTGCATATTAATATCTTATATCTGATGAAATAATAAGGACAAATGACAATTATCATGGAAAATGCTACTTTTCTGATATTGAAATATTTATTTCAGAGGATCAAATAGAACATTTCAGTAGTGAAAATGGGGTATGGTATGGTAAAGTATGTGTCACTCATTATTTATCTATAATAGCAAATTTTTATTTTAATTGATTTTTAATTATAGTTTATTTGTTCAGTGCTTGTTATTATTAGAAATAACTTTTGAAGATGATAATAAATTTCAGAATCTACAATTGGTTATGGTTCAATGGTATGATTATGCTGATATTGCAGCTAAAAAAAAGATATTAACAGCAAATACAAAGATGGATAAATGGCACAAATTAGGATGCCAATACATGAAATTATTAGATTCATATGATATAATACCTTTAGAATCTGTTTTAAGAGCTATACATATAGTCCAAGATTTTAACAAAGAAAACAGATATTTTGTTAATAATTATGTTTAAATATTTATTTCAAGTATTATATTCAATAAATAGGATACAATTTAGTTCACATATTAAAAAAAAACTCATATTTTGTAAAAAAAAAACTCCAAATCTATATTCGTTTATTGTTCACTTATTGTTTGTTTATTGTTTGTTTATTGTTTGTTTATTGTTTGCTTATTGTTTGCTTAATATTTGAGGTGTATAATATTTGTAATATAATACATATATAATACATATTAAAATATAGCTGCATTATTTACACAAAATATGCATATTAAATATGGGCATATATAATATGCACTTTAATTTATGTATTTAATATGCCAAAGTAAATTATATATATATAATACATATTTTATAGCAAATATTATTTGTATATTTTTTAATGCAAATTTTAAACAAATAATAAGCAAATATTATTTGCTATAAAATATTTAGTATAGAATAATCAAACAATATACAAATAAATAAGCATACAGAATTTATTATGCTAATTACACGCTAATTATACGTAGAATATTTGGAATTGGTTTTCCTGATGTTATATTATTTTCATTTTCATTTTCATCTTCTACATCTTCTATATCATCTACATCATCATCTTTTTCATCTTCTTCCTCATCTTCTTCTTCTTCTATACCATCATCATCTTTACTTACCAGCTTAAAAAAGTCCATGATATTTGCTGTTCCTTCAGCAGCTTCACAAAGGTTTTGTTTTTGTATCTAATTGTTCTGGGAGCAGTTCCTGTATAATACCCTTGATGGTTTTTTTTTATTAGAGGTTTCACCTGCATTATTATCTTCAAAAAAATTTACATTAGCAATTTCATTATCATATTCAAGAGTTCCCAAGTCAATTATTTCATCATCATCAGATAATTCAGGTGAGGAAAGAGGTAAATCAACAATTGAGGAATTTTCTTGAGAAAAAAGAGAAAAATCAGTATTTGCTGGAATTTCTTGAGCTTCTTGTAAAGAAAGATCAAATTTAGAAGCTTTTGAATGACAGGCTTCATTGGCCTTTTGTAAGTTTGAAAGAAGTGATTTCATTTTTTTTGTCTTTTTAGGCATTTTGAGTAGTGGCAACTTTTGAAAATTATATATAAAATATTAAAAAATTATGAAATTTCAAACTCTTATAACTTTTGCTAGTTAGTACAAAATTAAAAATCTAGCTGCAATGAATTACTCCTTGACTTCTAAATAATCATTTGGTGCAATTATTTTTTTGAAATTGATCATCCCTAATGAGTAGATACCATTTTTGGTAAGTCAATAATAGTTGATGGTTTTTGCTGTCATCCACTGTGCTTTAAATAATTTTGGCTGCCGTAATCCCATAAATAAGATTGGCTATATAATTTACAATAATAATTATTAAAAACACAATTTTATTTTTATTTGTAAATTTGGCAAAATAAAAAAATTTAAATTCCTGAATCTCTTATAACATCTATATTATAATCAGGATCACCATAATCTTCTATATCTTCTAATGGTCTATTAAAATTTTCCCTTTCCTAAGGTTCATAAAAATCTGACAAATAAAAAGAGTTCTCTATTTCTAAATTAGGATTGTTGGCATTATTATCTTGCATATCATCATCACCATCATCACTATTGTTGTCATCATCAGTATCTTCAAAATCAAAAACTCACTCCCTCTCCAGAAAATAATCCATTCCCATAATCATGTAAAGCATTAATCAATTGTTCCTCTGACATTTCTTGAGTAATGTAATTTAATTCACTGTTTGCATTCATTGTGTAAAAAGAATGTAATTTAGCCATATTAGAAACCTTTTCAACATCAAGTCTATAAAGAATTAATTATTAGAAATATTATATGTATTTATATACATTGAAAAAATAAAAATAATTTTTATTGTACCTATTTCTACATTTTTGAGTGAACCAACTTAATACAGAAAATAAACATTCACAGCTTGCACTGTGAGGAACAATTGCTAAAGTATACTATGCAAGACATTGTAAATGATGATGTTGTTGTTTGCAAGAAATCCACCATGTTTTTGGACACTCTGATTCATCAGGAAATTAATTTAGCGTAAACTTGCATAAATCTTACGATGCCGACGTAATATTGTGTAAATCTTACAGTGCCGACATAAGTTTTACACTTTTTTATTATTAAACTTACAATTGACACATGTAAAATTTTTTTATATTTTCCGGATGTTCCTCTACATATGGATAATGATAAGGGAAAGTGAAAGAATCATAATTTTTTATTTGTGTGATTAAGACTTGTGCACTTTTATCTCCACCTCCCAAATTTTTCCATACTTCTAATGCTGTACGTATCACTGAATGAAAAACTACAGGAACCATCCCATTGCTACGATACTTTGGGTGCAAAAAATAACTAAGTAAATAAAATTTAACATCAAACTGTATCCATCATTTGTTATATATTTGAATACATTGTCTTTGAAAACCTTTATGTTCTGTAGAGTCACTTATTGGCAACTGTTTTATTGTAGCAGCCATTTGAATGAGGATTAAAAAAAAATCTGCCAAAGTGGAGTTTGCAGATTCTATACATTTAACAGCCTTTTTTGCAGGTGATGATACATATGTAAGGCATTCAACATTTGCCCAAAAATTCCTATCATTTACTAAGTTATACAAATTAGTTGACATACATCCTGGATCTTTTTCAATCATATTTCTAAAAATATTTTCAAGTCGTAATACAGAATTACAGCAATCCCATGCACTGCTCCATCTTGTTACCACTGATGACTTAAGACCTCCACCCATAATGAATGCTTCAACTATTTCATTACAAAATTGTGCACCTGCTTTATAAGAACCTTGAAAATAACTCACAAACTTTTGACATTGAGATAAAACATTCTTGCCAAAACTAATTTTTTTAACAATATCTGAACAAACTAAGTTTACATGATGTGCTACACATTGTATAGATAATATATGTGGATATTGTTCTGTAACTATTCTTTTTGCTAGTTGCATGTTGCTTGCACCATCACTAATGACAGCAGAAAATCTTTGTGGCCCAATTTCTTCAAAAATTTTTGCAATTTCTTCAGCAAAAAATCCACCAGTATGAGAATAATCTGAAAAATCCCTAATTGAATGAACAAATTGTTTTTGTGATAAAGTGATAATCAAAATTCACAATATGAATGATGTTGGTTACTCTTCCAACTATCAACAACCAAGGATAAGTTTTCTTCACTTTTTAATTCTTTCTCAATTGAAATACTAATTCTTGCAACCTCTTTATCTATCAACTTTGTACTCAATGTCCTACGGTCTGGTGGGTTGTAAGCAGGACACAAATTTTTAATGAAATCAAAAAAAATACATTTTCAACTGTTGCAAATGGTATGCTACAACATACAAAAAATCTTGTTAATGCATTATCACACAACTTTGATTGTCCTTGGCTTATGTTATATTTTTGAAATTGACTGGTTATTCTTGGTTGTAGACCACTAGCAATTTCTAAATCTAATACTCTTTTAGAAGAATTAATTTTTTTACTTTGTTCATTAACTTCATCATTTGAACTTGCAATTATTTGTAAAAATTTTTGTTGTATGAAAGCTGGAACCTGAATACATTGTAATGCAAGATGGGCTATCATAGCTGATGGTCTTCCAGATTTTTTTGTGCCTTCACAATACTTGCATATACTACCATTTTGTTGGATTCAGCTTGAGTACAATTATTTTCATTAATTTGAATTATTTCATAATCAATTTCAGTATTATCATTACTGTTATTATTATCAGGTGATGAAAAGCAATTGTTCAACTCTTGTTCAGTTATTTGAGTAACAAGTTGTAAAAAAATTTATTGAAAATATTGAATTTTTGCTCCTATTTTTAATTGTTAATTTTTTCTAATTCAAATTCTTCAATTCTAATTATTAGAAAACTTCAAATATAATGGGAAATTTGATGTAAATTATTATTACTATCACTAATAATAAACACAGATTTTTTTAAAAAATTAAAACAAATCCTATTATAATTTTTTACTATTTATTATATTTATTTATTATTATTATTCTTATTATTATATATTTACTACCACTATTACTAATTATTGATCAAAAAATTCACTGCCATAATTAATCATTAAAAATTAAATAGGATGTAAAATTTTTTTCATTGATATATTGGAAAAAATAATAATTAAAATAAACCTTAATTTTTGTTTTGGTTAAATTTGTGTCATATATTAATTGGTATTAGTATATAAAGAGAGTAGCCAAAATTATTTATGGCAGCAATTACTATTACGGAATTACGTTAGCCAAAATTATTTATGATAGCCAAAATTATTTACAGCAGCTAAAATTATTTATGGTAGCCGAAATTATTTATGGCAGCCAAATTATTTACAGAGTTGAAATTATTTACAGAGCTGAAATTATTTACAGAGCCGAAATTATTTACAGAGACTGAAATTATTTATGGAATTATGGGTTTTAAACTTTCTTGTCATAATTAATTACGGATTTTTAGAACCATAATCCCATAATTATTACAGAATTATGGTGCCAACTATATATACAAGCAGATTATAATGAATTAAAAGCTTTAAAATCATTTGAAAAAAATAAAATAAAATCATGTAGTATTCAAAATTCAACACAAACAGACATTACTAGTTTTTTAATTTTTTGAAAATTTTACTACATTATATCAAGTATTGTATTAAGTATTAAACAAAAAAATTTTATTAAAATTTTCCTGTTGATCATTATCTTGTTTCAACAGATTTAGGTGGTCAGTCCCATAGATCCATTGAAACAAGGTTTGACTGTAATGCCTTATTTCTATCTGTAAATTCTATTAAAGCTAATACTAAGCATATAAATTACATTAGAAACATGAAAAACTTTTTATTTTTAAAAATTAAAGAACAGTTTTATCAATCAATGTAACAAAAATTTGAAATAAATTTTTTGTGTTCATTTATAATATCCATCATCTAGCAAAGAGGTTTTAATCTCTTTTATAAAGTATGCAAAAATGTTACAGCAAAGAAAATATAAAGTTGTATGTTTTTAATTAGACAAAAAACATTTAACCACTTCCTTCTGTGCTTTTAGTTGTTTCTTGTGATTCCCTGTAAAAAAAAAAAGGCAGACATTATAGAAACACTTATGCAACATAACAGCAATAAAATAAAGAGAATTGAATAATGAATGCCACTTACAGACAAATTTTTTTATTGCTACCCAGACCACTAACTTGCATTTGCAGGATAGAGGAAATAACTTCTCAGAACATAATGACATTGCTGATGACATTCTGACATTTGGTTTAATTTTTAAAAGACAAAAGGAGTAAATATATTAAATGGTAAAATTATTTTTTATCAAATAATACATACAATGAATGTGTCACCAATCAATTTTTGGGAGAGCATATTTTAATTGATGATAACAAATTTTTAATAGTTTATGTGGATCAGAATGAAAAGGCTAATACTAACGAATTAGATTTATTAGCGAATAATTTTGTTTTAGTGATTTGATAAAAATGATTTATTTAATTT